ATGGCCGAGATGACACACTGGTACTGTGCTCTGGTCGAGGAGCAGGACACCGGCAAGCTACAAAATCAGATCTCCAAGTTGGAGAAGAAATTGGCGGTGTCCGAGTCTGAGAAGGCCGAGCTTCAAAGACAGCTTAAGGAGGCCGAGGTGAAGGATGAGGAGGCTGTGGCTACTATCAACAGCCTCAGATCGGCCCTCGAGGAAGAGCAGAAGAGGGGGGACGAAGTGAAAAAGTCCCATGAACAAGCTCTCGAGAGTGCTGGAGCCTCGGCCGTGGACGCTTTTCGGAAGTCTGAGGCCTTCACCAAGGATCTCGGCCAACTACTCACGCCGAGCTTCATGTTTGGCTTCACGTCAGCCATAGACGAGACTGCAGCTCACCTCTCCTCCGAAGCCTTGGAGTCTTTGAAAAACCATACCAACTACAACGAGAACTCCAAGGAGCTATGCGATCGGATGGCCGAAGGCATCCAGGCCGGAAGGAACTTGGCCGAAGTCCAGAACGAGTTCAACAAGTGGCTGTCCGAACTCGATGAAGTGTTCGAGGAGGGTGAAGAAGCTGGAGGAGAAGACGCTGGGGGAGACGAAGCCGGAGGGGACATCGGCGAAGAGCATGGAGGAGAACTTCACCCCGGCGGAGAAGAGGCCGGAAAGAAGGCTGCCCAGGAGGGAGTCGAGAAGGGGGTCTAGGCTCGTGGGCCTTAAAGGGGTGGCCGAGGTGGAGAGTGCTTAGTAGCATTCCGACCTTGGCCTTGTATTTTTTGTAACGCTCTTTTCTATTGAATGAAAGTCTATTTCTTCTCTTCTCAGCACTTTAATTTCTCGCTTTGACTTCGTCCCTTGCTTGTCCCCCTTATTTTTTAATAGCGTAATACCGATGTTGAAAAATAATATAATATCCGAAGTCATAACTTGATTAAAAATTCAAGCATAATACAATTTGAGGTTCTCGGCGTGCCAAGACCTCGGCACTAATGAGCCATCTCGGTAACTCAGTTTACAATATCCCTTAAGGTCAGACTTCACAACTCGGTAAGGGCCTTCCCATTTCGGGCATAATTTCCCTTGTGGTTCAGCTCGGCTGACCGAGTTCTTTCTAAGAACCAAGTCTCCAGGCTGGAATCTACGGTGTCTGACGCGGGCATTGTAATAGTGTGCCAGTGTGTTCTTGTAGGAAGCTATCCGGGCTGAGGCGAGGTCCCTTCGTTCATCGACGAGGTCGAAATCTAGCTGTCTCTCTTCGTTGTTCACCTCGACGGCATAGGTTGCCAGCCGAGGTCTGGGGGTAAGGATCTCGGCAGGGATGACAGCCTCGGCTCAGTAGGTCAATGAGAAGGGGGTCTCTTGCGTGGCTGATCTCGGCGTGGTCCGATAAGACCACAGGACACTGGGGAGTTTTTCGACCCAAGATGTTCCAACTCGGTGTAGTCGGGTCTTGAGGCCATGCAAGAGAGTTCGGTTGAAGTTTTCTGCTTGACCGTTGGCCTGGGGGTGGCCTACCGAAGTGAAATGTTGTTTGATGCCAAGGTTTGTGCACCAAATTTTAAAGGGGTTCTCGGCAAATTGCCTTCCATTATCCGAGATGATGACCTGAGGTATGGCGAAGCGGCAGACGATGCATTTCCAAAAGAATTTCTGAATTGCCAGCCCGGTGATGATCCTCAGAGGCTCGGCCTCAACCCACTTGGTGAAGTAATCCACAGCGGTCACCAGGAAGGTATAACCCCCGACGGCTCTGGGGAAAGGACCTATGATGTCTGTCCCCCATTGCTCAAACGGCCAAGGTGAAGTGATGGGAACAATGAAGTTTGCGGGCTGGTGATGCTCGGGTGCGTGGACTTGGCAGGAAGGGCAGCCGAGAACGAGGTCCTGGGCGTCTTGCCAAACTGAGGGCCAGAAATATCCAAGAAGCAAAGCCTTCTTGGCTAGCATTCTGTGGCCGACGTGAGCTCCACACAAGCCTTCGTGGATCTCGTGGAGGACGTGGCGTCCTGTCTCGGGAGTGACACACCTCAGCCATGGGCCGAGGTAGGAGCGTTTGTACAGCTCTCCATCGCGGAGAGCGTACCGAGCCGCCTTGCGTTTTATTTTTCTCGCCTCGGCTCGGTATTCGGGGAGGGCTCCTTGACCCAAGAAAAGGATGAACGGGGTCATCCAGATTTCTTCAGAGTGCACGGGGCAGGCCACCTCTTCCACGTATCCTGGTTCACTCAGGACTTCCACTAAGACTGTTTTGTTGAGGTCAGAGAATGATGTGGAAGCCAGCCGGGATAAGGCGTCGGCTCGCTTATTCTGTGACCGGGGTATTCTTTGGATTTCGAAAGACTCGAAGTAAGCGGTGAGTTGGTGAACTTTGGAGAGGTACCGTTGCATGGTCTCATCCTTGGATTCGTATTTACCAAGAACTTGGCGTACAACGAGTTGGGAGTCACTGCGGACGTGGATTTGCTGGGCGCCGAGCCTGCGGGCCAGCTGGAGTCCAGCAATTAAGGCCTCGTACTCGGCTTCATTATTGGTGGCTGGGAAGCCAAAGTGGAGGGCATAAGAGCACACTTCTCCCTGAGGTCCTTCCAGGAGCAGTCCAGCTCCGCTGCCATCCCCATTAGAGGACCCGTCTACGTACAGCGTCCACGGGGAAGGGGTGGACACCGCGGCACTGGCGGAGGTGGACTCTGGACCTTCCGTGAAGGTCAGCTCGGCCAGGAAATCAGCTAGGGCTTGAGCTTTTATGGCGGTGCGGGGCTCATATGACAGGTCATATTCTCCCAACTCGACAGCCCACTTGGTAAGGCGACCAGAAGCCTCGGGTCGCACCAATATTTGCCGAATGGGCTGGTCGGTCCTGACGGAGATGGGATGAGCAAGGAAGTAGGGCTTCAATCGCCGAGCTGCGTGGACTAGCCCCAACACCAGTTTTTCCACCTGAGTGTATCGAGTCTCCGGCCCGCGGAGAGCTCGGCTGACGTAGTAGACTGGCACTTGGGTGCCCTCATCCCGGATAAGAACAGCGCTGACAGCCTCGTCGGCTGCGGAGAGGTAGAGGTAGAGCTTCTCCTCGGACCGAGGTGAAGCGAGAGTGGGTAGGTTATTGAGGTATTGCTTCAGCTTGTCGAAAGCAACCTGGCACTTTTCCGTCCAGGCAAACTGGTCAGCCTTCTTGAGCACCTTAAAGAAGGGCAGAGCTTTCTCAGCTGATTGGGACAGGAAGCGATTCAGCGCGGCCAGGCGTCCATTCAGCCGTTGGACTTCTCGGATGTTCCGAGGTGGGGACATGTCCTGAATGACCTTGACCTTGTCGGGGTTGGCCTCGTTTCCCCGGTGGGAAACCAGATACCCCAAGAATTTTTCTGAGGTGACGCCGAAGACGCACTTCTTGGGATTCAGCTTGATCCTCGAGTCTCGCAGGACACCAAAGACTTCCCTCACGTCTGACAGAAAGGACGAAGTGGCGAGACTTTTGACGAGGATGTCATCCACATAGGCCTCCACATTGCGGCCGATCTGATTCTTGAAGAGTCGGTTGATCAGCCTTTGGTAGGTCGCCCCGGCGTTCTTTAGCCCGAAGGGCATGGTAGTGTAACAATAAGTACCTCGGTCGGTGTAGAACGCCGTTTTCTCTTGGTCCTCCTCACTCATTCCTATTTGATGATACCCTTTGAAGGCATTTAGGAAGCAGAGGACTTCATACCCCATCGCCGAGTCGACGAGGGCGTCTATCCTCGGCAGAGGATTGCGATCTTTGGGGCATGCCTTGTTGAGGTCGGTGAAGTCTACACACATTCTCCATCCACCGGTGTTCTTTTTGACCATGACTGGGTTGGACAGCCAGGTGGGATATTGGACCTCGTGGATCATCTTGGCCGGCAAGAGCTTGTCGACCTCATCCGATATGGCCTTGCTACTTTCGGGGCCGAAGTGCCTTCGTTTCTGCCGCACAGGTCGGGCCTGTGGGTTAACGTTGAGTTGGTGAGTCATGAGCTCGGGTGGCACTCCGACCACTTCATCTGCGGACCACGCGAAAACGTCTCGGTAGTCCTTGATCAGAGAGATCATTTCTTCTTTCAGGGGTAAGGGGAGTCCGGCCCCTACTTGAACCACTTGGTCAGGTTTCGTTTCATCCAAAACCACTAGTTTCACCTCATCCCCGGGCTCAAGCCTGTTGGGCTCTCCTGCCTTCTGAGGGTCGATGCAGTCTATGGAGAGAACCGCTGGCCTCTTTTCTTCTGACCTCGGTGAGGGCCGGAATGTGACTGCTGCTTGAATGGTGGCGAGGTAGCATTCCCGGGCGGCGCCCACGTCACTGCTCACCTCGGCCACCCCCACAGCTGTTGGGAATTTAAAGCTCAGGTGGTAGGTGGAGTATACTGCTCTCAAGGCTTTGAGCGTGGGCCGGCCTATCAGCATGTTGTAGGGGGAGTCTACTTTGACCACCGCAAAACTGACAGGCACAGTTCGGCAGCGTGGATGACGCCCGATAGTTACCATCAGGGTCACCATGCCCTCCGGGTGGACGACGTGTCCCCCGAAACCGACAAGGGGAGTTCTTACCGGAGTGAGTTGCTCCCGGGTCAGCTTCAAACTCTCGAAAGTTCGGTAGTACAAGATGTCTACCGAGCTTCCGGGGTCAACATAGACCTTCTTGAATATGTAATTATTGGTAAGGACTTCAATCACGAGGGACTCGTGATTGCTGGAGGCGGCAGGGACAGGGTCATGGGGACCATAAGTAATCACCTCGGATAACCTGGAGCTCGATTCGGCCACCTCCATATCGGCTTGTCGGTAAGTCCTTTTTCGGGAGTTCTGTCTCCTCCAGTGGGGCCACCCGAGATGGTGTTGATCACCCCGGCAATGTTCGGGCCATAGCCTGGCGACCCGTCGCGTGGAGGCCTCTGATCCCCCTTTCGGTCCTCGGGACCTCGGCAGTGAAGCTTAGTGTCCCGCCTGTCTTCTCGGCGAGGACCTCGGCTCTCCCGGTGGGAGGCGCTTCGGTTAAAGGTTCAATCCTTGCGGACAAACTGCTTCAAGTATCCCTGGCGGATCAGGTTTTCAATTTCTCGCTTCAAGTCGTTGCAGTCTCCGGTCTCGTGCCCCACATCTCGGTGGTAGGCACAGTAGAGGTTGGAATTCCTCTTATCCCTTCTTCCTGGGATCTCAGGGGGAGTTCGGCCGAGGTGATTTTGCCTCATCACAGCCAAAACATGGGATCGCCTGGAATTGAGGGGTGTCAGCTCGGCGTTCGAGGTGGACGATCTGCCTTTCACGATCCGGTCGAAGACACTCCGGCGGTCTCGGAGTTGGTTTGAAGTGTCACTTGGGCCTGGTTCACCTCGGCCTGTGTCTTTCCTCCTCCGGGGATCTTGCCCCGCACGAGATGCTTGGGCTTCTCGCTTCATGCGATTTACATCTTCACTTCGGATTCCCTGGTCCACTCTTTCCCAGAGCTCCCGAAGTGTATGGGGGTACTGCCGATGGATTTCGGTGTTGAAGATCCCTGCCACTAATCCGTTGGTGAAGGCAGCGATAGTTACTTGCTCATTCTGATCAGGTATCTGCACATTCTCCTCGTTGAACCTTTGAACATACGAGCGAAATGACTCGCCTTGACCCTGTTGCAGGTTCAAGAGGTAAGCAGAAGTCTTTGTGATTGGTCGAGACGACACAAAACGGTGGATGAACTGGTCTATTAGCTCATTCAAGGAGGAAATGCTCCTTGGTTCCAAACTCCAGAACCACTTCCGGGCAGTCCCGTGTAGGAAGATTGGGAAAGCCCGACAGATCACGGCGTCGGGGACGCAGTAGAGTAGGAATGCGGAGATGAAGGCGCGAAGGTGATCCTCGGGGTCACCTCGGCCGTCATAGGTGTGCAAGTTTGGAAGTTTAAAGTTTGGGGGCACTATCTCCCCGTTGATGTCATCTGTGAAGGGCGGGGCCCGCATGTAATCAGAAGCTAAGCCTCCGGGGCGCCGAGGCGGGTCCTCGGCTTTTTTCCCTAACAGTCCCCGGGAAAACGCCCTGAAGATGGAGGCAATTTTAGAGGTCGCCTTGGAGGAGGCGCGCCTAGAGGTACTCCGAGAGAGACGCCCCTCATCGGAGTCCTCACCTGAGGGCGCTTCAGGAGACTTCGTCGGTCTCCTCTTGGAAGATTCGGCTTTTTCTTTCCCGTCTTTTGAGGTATCTTCCTAGCTCCTCAAAAATGTTGGGGTTGTCTGATACGAATTCGGCCATCTTGGCGATGGCGTCCTCGTTGTTGGGCTGGGTCCTTTGGGACCCTTGTTCTTCAGAGATGCGGTCTTGCTGGGCTCCCGAGGTCTGCCCAGCCCCTGTTGAGGGAACTCTTCCGCTTCTAGAGCGCGTGGATCTCATTTTAGTAATAGTAGTCTCGTTTCCCACAGACGGCGCCAATTGAAGAGGTGATTTTTGGTGGGTAGTTGAACCGACCAGAATCAGGCTCCTCTGAGATGAAGTGAGGTGTATCCTCGTGTCCGAAGTGAATGGCGGGGCTTCTCCCCTGGGATCACTCCGACGATCAAGTTAGTATGAGAGCGAGAGAAAAGTAATAGTATTGTCAAATGAACAGTATGCTTACTTGTTGGGAGTGTGTGGAGTATTTATAGAGTGAGAGTGGAGGGCAGGACGGAGGTCTTATGTCGGTGGGACCCATGCCCTGCCATTACGGCTCTGCTCCCTGTCAGGTGGCCTGACTCTGACACTGTAGCCGCCTGGACAGGGTGACGAGGAGTCCTTCGCAGTAGTCATTAAGTGCGACAATGCTTTTCAGATAAAGCACTGATCCCGGGTGATGTCAGGTGTCTTGACATCATCAGCGTGCAGTTGAGGTGGAGGTGCCGAGGTCACCTACACGGTAGACTAGGGATCCGGCCGAGCTTAGGGGATATGCCCAAGACACGGATGAGCTCCGATGAGGGACGAGGTGGGTTCATCTCGGACATGCGGGTGGCCGAGGTGGGCATCCTCAGTAAGTGTAAGTATCATTAGTTCCTGTAGAGATCAAATGGACAATCACAAAAGCATCCATCTCAATTACGCTGATCCTAAATCACAACCACCCTTATTTGAGTAATCTTCCTCCTCTCCTTCCTTCACCACAAATAACGCAGCTGCAACCCCCAGCAATTCTATTCTTGTCACTATACTCCCAACAATTTTGCTTCAATTTGGTCATCCTTAGCATCATCTCCGCCACCCAAATTCACCTTCTTCCTCTTGTTCCTCTCTTTTTGACAATCCCAGTAATGATTACAACTTGCATATTATCATTAACAAAAATGAACCGATTGTTCCCTCTGTTTCCTCATCTCTTATAGCCAAAACTCCTTTGTGCCAATCTCAAGAGACCCCATTTGGCCAAAACTCCACTGCCTCTTCTCTTCACACGAGACCCTATTTAGGCTAATTTCAATTCTCGACAAAATCCTCAAATCCTCCTATAAAATTTCTAATTTTATTAAAATCTCTTCACAAATACCCTTTTTCTTCGGCCCCAGGGGCACCCAAAAAGTCTCCTACTCAAACTCTTTTGTGCTACAAATTTTTGAATAATTTCAGTTACCGTTGTCGCCTCCGCCGCCTCCTCATTTTTACCCATCTCATTTTTTTACTTCCTTATTTCCCACCCAGCCACTTCATTATTGATTTTCTGTCTACTTTCACTCTGTAAATTAAAGTTGATTCCCTAATTGCAATAGAGATTTTCCCCTCATCTTTTGCAACTAGAGATTGAAAATGGATTGGGAAGTAGCAGCTTTTTACTGCTTTTTAGTTTACTCGATTAATACTCTCACACGGACAAGAATGCCCTCGTTACCGTCACTCATAAACTGTCGAAATTCACGGAAGGATCAACAATTTGCACGTTTGATAGATTGACGGCCAAAAGTTTTCATATAATTATTCGAGGATTAAAACTTTACACGGCTAAAAGTTCGAAGACCATTGGAACTTTTTTCTCTCTAAAAAATATAAAAATCGTGTTGAGCTGAGCACGGGTTCCCTTAAAAAAAAAAATGCTTAGCACATGTTAAATACTTAAAGGATAATTTTAGAAACCTCCCATGAGATTTTTGACAATTTCACTGAGTATCCTGAGATTTGAAAAATTATATTTACCTCTCTTGATTTGATAGGTTTAGTAACAAAACATTAACATAATATTGACTTGGTCAAATTTTTAAATGAATATCCAAAAATGTGATTGTATAATGAGTTTTAATTTATTCTCTTATACAATTATAAGATTATATAGTGTAATTATAAGGAAAATGTGACAAAATTTCATGTCCATACATACTATTTAATAAAAAACTATAATAATAACTTTATCACTATGATAGGATACTTTTGATGGTATTTTATTACAGATTTAGATATATAAGATAGAAACTAGAAATAATAGTGATAGTTCTATAATTTTATTTGCATAAAATTAAAATTAAAAGGAATAAGAAGGAAAAAGAATGAAAAAATAATTTTAAAAGTCATTTTAAGTATAAGTACATCAAACAAGGGAATTTCATTAAAATATTTAAGGGTAGTATTATCATTTTAAATAATAAGGGAGGTATGTGTAATTTTAAAAAAAATTTTGGGACCTAAATGAAATTATAAAAAACCTCAAGGGAGGTCTCTGAAATTATCCCAATACTTAACCATAATGAATAACCGTTCGCAGTAACTCGTAAAGGCTGTCAGTCACTGGGCTTGTTCGCGAAATGCATTTTGTTCTTCCACCGGATAAAGGGAACGTCCATCACTCGCAGCAGCGAGTTATTGAACTCACAAAACTCGTAGGAAGTGGAAGGGAAATAGCTGATACAATGTCGAACGCCGTCGTCAATGGGCTGGCAGGTGCAGGCGGAGGTATCATCGCTCAGATAATCACTTACCCTCTCCAAACGGTTTCCCTCTTCACCCTGGCATCCATAGACACTAGGATTAGTGACCTTGGTTATTTTATTTGTCTTATCGCCACGAACTCGTACAGACAAAAAGCTGCAGAACTTGTCCCAGCATTTCAGTAGTTTCTTGCTCAATCTTGGCTCTGCTTGCACTTGCAGGTGAATACCCGCCAGCAAACAGAAAGAGTTGCCAAGAAGGATGCCAATTTACTTGTTCCCCATCAACCCCCTCCTGTTGCAGGTGGTACTCTACTGCACATGTTTGAGGTTGGTTTTCTTAAACAACTCCCACTTCAGACTTGGGCCGAATTTTTCTAGCAAACTTTTGAGATAATCGTCTCTCACTGGATCCTGCAAATTCCGATTGTCAGGTTATTAGAAGCGAAGGTCTGGGAGGACTTTACAGTGGCCTCATGCCTTCTCTACTCGGAACTGCTGCCTCGCAGGTGATTTCTCTGCCATAAAATGGTTTCTTTGCTCAACTAGCAAAATACTGTGGTTCAACCCAATTCATATTAATCTTCTTTTTTCTTAGTTGAAGCCCGATTAAGTACGGATAATTTGGTAGGATGTCAATGTTTATACTCTCTAGATGAAAGTACAATCATCGATGGCGAAAGCGATCATTGTAGCCCTGTAGCCCTGTTGTTCGACAAAGTAATCTAAAAACTTTCGTGAGATCTTATCGTTTATTTTATTTTAGGGGTGATGGTTGTTCAAAATTCATAAGAGGGTGTATCCTTGTGCTGAATTTACAATAATGGCTATTGTAAGGGTCTGGTGAAATTAAACAAATTGTTCAAGCAAAAGATATGCCCTCTATATAGCTTGCAAAATTTCTGTTACCATTATTAGAGATTTTCCCTTTCATATCATTCGATTAAGACATTGTTTTATCCTTATAGTGGTTCTTTATTCTGGCATGGTTGCCCTTGTAGCCTTGCTATATGCTAGAACATCTATTGCTATGCCTTTGAAATGAACAATTGGGTGTGGTAGTTAACTCAGTAGGATCAAATCGCCATTGAAAATATATCACATGATTGGTATTTTGAAAAGTATATTTCTTTTAATAACACTAAAACTTCCCTTTAAAATTCTTTATAGAATGCAAAGACCAACCGGCCTTCATGATCGCAAAGCAAACCACCGCCTGAGCATCTTGTGCTTGAAACAGAAGCATCCGTGTTTAGTTTCCAGCGACCAAGTGAAGGTTTGGATCATTTGACAACCAAAGACCAATGTTTTGCAGGTGGGTGCACTTTAAAGAACCGCCGAAAGTACCCCTCATCACGCTGAATCTATTTACTGGATAATATATTTACAGCTCCAAGCAACTCCAAGAACTGCTCTACACGAAAAATAATGGTACAGAATTAAAGAGTAAGACATGAAAGATCAGAGAAAAAGGAATCAGTCATTCGTCTTGGGTTGGATGCTAACTAGGACTTCTGTCTCCTCCTTAATGTAATGCAAATCTCGTATCTTAAGGAGAAACTGATGGAACATAGTAGTGAATTTCTCTCTCCCAATCCGGTTTCGGTTAAGTAATATGCATATCCATCAGGTTAGTTTTTGACCTAAGCATTACAGGGCTTCCTTGTAGGGTAAGCAAACCATGCCTCACAGCATTTATTTGTACTTTTCATTCTCAAAACAATCTCCAGAAAGACTGAACTCCAGCCAAATACGAAGCTTAATCCAATTCTCATTGTACACTGGCTTGAGAGCTTCAATCAGATGCCGGTTGCAGGAGCAAAGCAATAAAAGGTATAGATGGCAGGAAAAGCATTAGAGGCAGACCATCCAAGGTGATTGTAGTTTGCCAACAAGGCTCTGTTTTTATGGTCCAATAAAAGAAGGAAGAAGGACAGGAACTGCAACTCCAAAAGCACATATACATAGCTCATTCTCCCTCAATTGGGCTAGGCCCTTCCCGGTCCCTATTGAAAAAGAAAGCCATGAGAAGCTTTGCAATTAGAACCAAGTAGGTATTTAGAGCAGGGAAAGCTTTCCTTTCTTCAACTACATTCATTCAACTAAACTCTTCTTTCTTGCCGCAGCAACTTTCTTGTCTGCAACTATACTACGATTTTTCTATTTATATTATTAATAATTGAAATTCTTGTCGATGTCGGAATATCCCCTGGTATTGAATCTGCTTCAGGGTTGAGGGAATAAGGCGCTGGAGAAGCGGGCCTTTTCTGTGGGCTTTCGAACTCTCCTTCCTACTACTCTTTTGCAAGATAGCTTCCAGAAAGAGTGACAGTCTCGTAACTGCTGGTGAGGAAAGACTACTTTAGCTGTAAAGCAGTTCGAAGCATAGATCTATTCTTCCTATACCTAATCCTCTAGTCATAGATGTATTCTTTCGAATACGCCCTAAGCATTCGCGCCTTCAGTGCTACAGGGCCCTCTGGATACTTCATACATCCCTTGGCTTCGGGTTACTCCCATATTTCATATGGGGGGTGACCCTCGTTCCCAATATCCTTCTAGAGCTACAGGTAACTCGAAGTTTGATATTCCATATCAAACTTCTACCCACCCGATAAAAATAGAGCTCTTTTTTTAGCTTACAGTTTGCATTTAAAGTTGGATCACTATACCCATGGAACTTGGATCTTTAGTTAAATAAAAATTTAGCTGGAAAGAAATGCGTATAGAAAGGAATTCTTGATATGAGACCCCTTGAGGTATAATCTAACAAGTGGGTCTTCAGACTCGCGTTTTGTTCTAGTGAGATCGATGTCTTCTTTTTGTTAATAGAGTAAGGCATTATAGCATATAAAGTAAGAATCGCTACACTGCCCCCTTGCTTCGCTCGCCTTCCCGAACTCTTAACTCTAGCTTGGTTGGGGACACCTATATCCAGCAATGCTTAGCTCTAACAGCTTCAGCTTCTTTAGCCGCTATAACTGAGCATTTGTGCGTTAGTAAGATTCTTTTTTGGGCACTAGAGTACGTGTGTGCACGTGTATGGTATGGTAGTTTTCTATTTCGTAGAAAACACTTCTCTACATTCAATGTTTCATATCTCCATTTGAGTTACCTATAGCTCTAGAAGGCAGGGGTAGGACGCCCACAGGGCAGGCTGTCCCCCTCGCGCCTTTGGTGCTACGGGGCCCTCGGGATACTTCGTTCATCCCTGGGCTTCGGGTTACTCCCATATGACTAAGGAACATTGTGGTGTAGGGTCACTTTCTGGTTTAGCTGAAATGCCCTTAACACAAATTTTTTTTTTTTGGGTAGTCATAGATTATCAAATTAGCTACCTTCCACTCATAAATCCACAATGACCCTGCTCTCCTTTTGAACCACACTCTATCACTGGCAATTGTTGTGGTTAAACAAATAAAAAAGTCTCATGGCATTGTTAATTTGTTGTTTGTGGTTATTTGTGCTCTCAGTGCATCTTGCTTTCCTGACATGTAGTAATTACATCGTTGCAAGCTCAATTTGTTTCTTGCAAGATGAATGGACCAAACATCATTTTGTGATATGTCATTGTAGATTAAATTTGGAACAATTAGTAAAATACATCGTTTGATTGATATGAAAACCCTGACATTGCTAAATTTCGATTTAAGCTTGAGATTATGCTTGTCTAACACTTGCTTACATTGTATTAACCTGTATTCAGTGTCATATATCAATTTGGGAAATTTTACTCTATGTGATCTCCTTGCTGTGCTGCCAGGGTGTTTATTACTATTTTTACCAGGTTTTCAAAAATAAGGCTGAGGCCATTGCAGCTAAAAATATGAGAAAAGGTCAGGGAGATGGTTCTGTTGGCATGTTTTCATGGCTTGTTGTTGCAGCTCTTGCCGGGTATTTAATGAAATTGATTTGCTACTTAATGATATGGTTTCTTCGAATAACTATATGCGAAGATAGTTAGGGTTAATTTTTAAAGTTTTGTTTAGCACTTGTTCTTGTTTGCTTTACCCATGACAGTGAATATAAGAGAAAATAATTTTTTACTCTTCTGTCTCAGTCCTAGTGATTCTTCTCATGCTAGTATCTCATTAAAAGGGTCTCACAATTTAGGTCTTTGAATGTATTGCTGACAAATCCAATTTGGGTTCTTGTGACGCGGATGCAGGTACACATGTTCCTTCTGCTGTGATTAAATATTTTATTGTTTTTGAAAACTCTTAGGTGGGAGATGTGTTAGAATAAATGTAATTAACAACTTGATCTTAGTTGCACCTCAATCTATGTTACTAGTGTAGACATTCCAAAATTGATGTGCATTAAATATTTTTATCTATGGAATAACGATGATTTTTTGAGGGGAACTATGTTTAGAATGTCTTAAATGCTTGTTCAAGTACAGTTGCTGAGTTGCTCGTTAAGGGCTCATTAGATGTTGCAACCTTTTTTTATTATTATTTTTCCCTTGTCCCTCAATGGAGGTAGGGAGGGAAACTTTAATGTTTGTTTAGATGCATCTTTTTTCTTTTGCATTGAAATCCATATGAAAGTTTTGTGTTTTCTAGCCATGAATGTGATATAAAACTGGTGCTAGAAACTTGGGCTGACAAGGGAAAAGTTGTAAAGGGAAAAGTCATGGTTTATGAATGCCTGGGTCTAGGATGTGAGGTTTTGTAGATGAAAGTGAAAAATTGCAGATCTCTTGTTACACAAAAGGGATGAGTGCTTGTTTCTTCACAGCTCGTATTGTCAAATCTTAAGTGACAAATAGGCTGTGTTGTGAGACGAATATTTGACTGTGCATATCATATTTGAATGCAATTTCTTTTTCATGCTTCCACAGACACACACCCAAGCTGAAAGAAAAATTATGGAGGCTAAAAGGGAAGAGTTGTTAAGAGAAGATTATGAAAACACATTTATGGGTGCTTTGCAAGAGAAATTGGTTGAACTGGAATCTATCAAGCCTCAACCCTATGGAGCATTCGATGCGGTTTGTCTTATTCACCATTATGTACTTACAATGACATACGTTTTACTTTTATATTCAAATGTTGGTAAGTGTGTTGTCTGCATCATCTGTGTGCCTCTGCTTTTCTTGTTGTTCTCTATTCTTCTGTAAACACAATACCTATTGGTTAGCCAATTATTTTCATGCCATAAATAATTGCGTGATGCTTAAATTGAATTTTCATCCTCAAAAAGAAAAATTTAAGTTCTTGGTTACTAGGCTTTATGATCATCTGTGTTATGCTTTAGTTTGGTGCAAAATGGTAGCTAATTGATTAGTTCATATTTGCTTGTCAATGGGTTGATTCTTGTATGTGACTGATGAAATATGTTTCAGAGTGCATTCTTAGTGCCTGAATGCTAGCATCTATTGCATGATTCTTGAACTGATAGTTGGTGAGCTTTTAATCAATCCAGGAAAGAAGTATTTTGAATGGATCAAATTTTGACAACTTCATCAATCAAGACATTTTCCTTTTTCCTAATTCTGTAACAGTTATGCACACTAACCATGGTGATAAACATGTGGCAGAAAGTTCTCTTTCTTTACAATTTACCGGTGAACTTTATGATCGTGGGAATTGTACTGTTGCCCATCCATTGATAAATGCCTACAAATGTTATTTTTGTGTTTTCTTTTAGACCTTTCTATTGTCTTCTCTAAATTCTTGAACATAGAAAATGGCTAATAGCACTGGATTTCCATGAGATAAGGTTCCTAGAGTATTTTTTTTATTTGATGCCTAAACCTCCCATTATTTTCTACTCTTTATTGTAATCTTTCCACTTACCCCTACCCATCTCCAAAAAAAAAGTCAGAATATTTTGCCTGTGGTTATATACACACTACATGATTAGCAGGCATGTGAAGTTTATGGTGAGTCTGGACTTAGAGGTTTCTGGAAAGGCATCATTCCAACACTTATCATGGTAAGATTCTGCTTCCAAATAATCCATACTTGTAGGATGTTCATTGCTTTTTATTGAAAATGGTGATTTGATGTTATAGGTTTGCAATCCATCCATCCAGTTCATGATTTATGAAACTTCATTAAAGCATCTGAGGGCTACACGTGGTACAAACAAGAAAGCAGTAAAAAGTGTCACCGCTTTGGAGGTATCCATATTGCCATGTTAGATTTGCCGAAATAGTTATGCACCTTCTAATTCTTTTTGGACTTTCACATCAGCATTTTTCTTTGGAAAATCTGTGTACATCTTGCTGACAAATCTGAAGGCACGTTCAGCCCTTAGTTTGAAATATTTGTCACTTTTCAATAGACACGTTGTACTCCGTCCTTTGCCTGTTGAATGGTGTGCTGGTCAGGCTATTGTAAAAAGTGATGTTTGTAATACTTAAGTTTTGTATACTTTCTCGTGCATAGGCTTTCCTATTAGGAGCCTTGGCAAAGCTAGGAGCAACTGTCTCAACCTACCCCTTGTTAGTTGTGAAGGTGAAATCATCTTCTTTCTGTTCGTTGCTCTGCAATATGAAATTATTATATTTGTTTTTTCATGTTGAATTGCAGGCCTGTTTATGAACTTTTTGTTGTATTTGAGGTTTATTTTAGTAATAACTATCTGAAAATTAAATGACAGTGGAAGAATTTTTTTACACTTGATAATCTTTTTTTGTTTTTTTTTCCTATTCCAAAATTTGTGTATGATGGTTTATTATATTAATCACTGCTGGGTACCTTTAGCATTATATGAATTTTTTTACAGTCACACTAAGCTTGGTGTAGAGTCTTTTTGGCTTACGAAAACATTAAGCTCTGTTCTCAAGCTTTGACTTGCATGTTCAATAGAATTCATGTATAAAATCTTATCATCTCTCGAATATGAAATTTTAACATAATAACATTGACTCACAGAATCAAATCTAGTGCAATGAAGTCGTATTCTATTCTTCCCTCTACCTGTTCAATTGATGAGCTTGTAGACTTCTATAGTCAAGTTTTTTCATATGTTTATACTATCAGCCTCCGAATGTTTTAATGCACAGGGTTCAAAAGGCAGGCTTAGTTAAAGTAACCCAACAATCTCTATTGCCCTTGTAGTTAATTTGTTGGTAATGCACTCCACAATGTATGGTCGTGGAATAATGTTGTATCCTTCAGCCTAGCCAAATCAAGTAAAGCAGGAGATGGCTAATTTGTGTGAGGTTTTTGGTATAAACTGGCTAAAATAAGATTCTTGAAATGCGCACAACTGCTGATATTAACAAAAACTCACAAGAACTCTTCTTTCCGGATAGACCCTGAAAGGACGTTAGGAAACCAGCTAGCAGGTGTAGACAAAGGAATTGGAACTTGAGAGGGCAAAACCTCTAAACATATATGCACTCTTGCATGTATCGGGTAAGTCGTATATCTTGTGAGTACTTTGGGGGGACAAATTCAATTTTGACGAGGACATTGAAATTCTTTTGTTTCAACTAGGGAATAGGGAAGTTTCTCAAATTTTGGAAGTGGCTGCTCCAAGCTGCCTCACATGTATATGCACCCTTGCAAATAACTGAATCCACCCAATTCCATGGTATCCATGTTGGAAATGTTGTAGTGCCAAGGTCATTGGATAAATTTAGCACTGATCCACCCAACTCAATAGGACCCACTTTGGGAACATCCAGTGCCTAACTTACATGTGGTTACCTGCACTGTTATGTACTTTACCAAAGTCTCTTTTGGCAAGTCATCACTATAACTATGAAATGTAGTTCAGCAGTGCTACTCTTTATGGCTTGTCCTCTGCATTATGATTATCTTGCTTAATATATCAAACATTGCATTGAATTGTCCTCTGAACTGAGAAAGTTTTGCTGTCCCACTTATTAGGACAAAGATTAATTCTGAATCCAATCCACAACAATTTGAAGCAGGAGGAAATTTTTACATGCAATAAACTTCAAATAGTCTTCCTAAATTTCATAGCAGTGACGCTTGAGACCTTATACACAAATTATTCTTAACTCTTGTCCTAGAGGATGGACTAAAAAGGGGCCCTTAAGTCCTTATGCAGCCTTTTTTCGCATAGAATTGCTTGATATGAAATGATTCATTGATACACTACTGTTGCTGTTTGGATTATTTCCTTTTATGCAAAAAATGGGACATTGAACATTATTATTTTCTTTCTCGAACAGATCTAACTATTGGTAATGAATTTCTTGTTCTTGAACGTGGTACTTACATTTTCTCGGATGATGTGCAGTCTAGGCTTCAAGCGAAACAGGAAATAGGGGGTAATATCTCACAAAGATATACAGGTTAGTCATCCCAATTTGTTCAACCACATAATTGGTTTGGTTGTTTTGAGGGTCCACCACTTGTTCTCTTATTGGCTTAGTATGCTTTAATGTCTTTAGCTTATTACATAGATTTCAACAAATATTAATCACACACACACCCGAAAAGTAAGGTTATTCCACAACCATACCCAAAAGGCAATTGCCTTTAGCTTATTACATAGAGCTCAAGCATTTTATATAAAGGACATTTAATGGTGTCGCTTTGGATCTTGCTGCTGTTGCAAACTGTAAAATTGGAACTAACATGAGTTTATGTTTCATACAAATGGCTGCTGGGCAAGATGTCAAGTTTTTTTCTACTGTAGCAGTTTTAGTTTATTACTATACCAAAAATATTTGTTCCGACATATATTGAGTTGGCCAGCGTCAAAGAGAGAAGTTTAATCATGGCTAATATTCTTGGCACATGTCAAACTGGTCTCAACAATTAGGTCCAAGATTGGTCTAGTTCCAGTTCAATGTAAGCTTGTTTATTGGTACGTGCTGTAGAGATCCCCGATATTTTTGCCAGAAGATCGACAATCTGAAATAGAATTGTTTGCATTGATGAGTTGTCTGACGTAACCATTGATCCTAACATTTCTTTGGGAATATGTATGTAAAAAGAAATTAAAAGGAAGAGGTTTTATAATGGGTCGTAGGTAGTGATTTAGTTTTTTACGTGTATTAGGTACGGTTGATGCCATTTTGAAGATGATTCGTCATGAAGGAGTGTGCAGCTTCTACAAGGGGATGAGCACGAAGATTGTGCAGAGCGTCATTGCAGCCTCTGTCTTATTCATGGTGAAGGAGGAGCTTGTTAAGGCTTACACAGTATTGATTAGTAGAAGACATAAAATCATGGCAAATATGGTGCAATGAGTTAATTCATAAAGAATAATTGTGTCTTACTGTTCCCCCCTTCTCCTGTTGTAGCTCTCTTGTCGCCGTTTTAGTGTTTTCATATGTAGTTGAAGTTGAGATATATTTTCAAGAATTACCTGGCTGTCATAACTCTGTGCCTCGTCGAACCATCCCTATCCGGGGATATTTCAGTTTCATGTAAGGCATCTTCGGCCTGGAATATATTGTGCTTGTAGGCAAAGTGCCTGTCATTTAAATTTGAGGGGACAAAGTAAAAGTGTCCCCCACTGTCAGGGGGTATTGAGGAATTAAAACCTAAATATTATGGTCCCCAGTTGGGTGACAAATAATTTCAGAAACCTCAAGAGATTTCTACATTTACACTTGGCACTTTTCAATTTAAAAAATTTCACCTACCTCCCTTATTTTAAATTTTTTTGCATCATTTGAATTCCATTTCAAAATATAACATTAAAAATTTTGGAGAGTGTTCATAGTTTGTTTGGATAAGAGTTTATTTGGATGATTTATTTGAGTTAATTATTGTAGCACTTTTTATGATGTGAAATATGTGAAATAAAAATGTGATTGAAATTTATGAAGTAAATTATTTTATTTCAAAACTATGCAATCCAAACACACGGAATTTCATTTCAAATTTACTTTTTTTTTTAATTTCTTAATTGTTATAGCACACCAAATTTATCTCTTAATTTTTATAAATTGATTAATATAGTTCTTTAATGAAAATTTAAAAGTTGATAACAAAATTGGAAAACTCTTTAGTAGTTTTTACGTCATTGGTTTAGTCAAGAAGTTACTCAAAATTATGAATAATTTACAATACTTTAACAGACAACTTCCAATAATTTACAACTATGATAATATCTTTTTGCGCCAGTTCAAAAATAATATGAACAAATTTATATATGATTTTTAGCCTATCGTATCTTTTTAATTTTGAAGCCATCGATTTGGACCAAAAAAATTTAAAAATTTAAACAATGTAAATGTTTATAAAACTTCTTATATTAACTCAAAACCCTATGCAGTAAAAAGAATATTATCTTTGTAAGTTGCAAAAATTTCAAATGAACTTTGAGATATTAACTATTGGTATTTAAAAACACTCTCTATTTTGTTATTAATAGAGTGTTTGTTTAGTTTATTTTTTATTTTAGTTATTATTTTTATTTTATTATTAATAGAGTGTTTTTATTTTTGTTTTTTCATTTGTTATTAATATATTCACATTTTTTGTAAGAAAAAGTAAGATAATAAAAGGGCAAATTTGGAATGAGATTATATCTACAATGAATATTTTAATATTATATTTTAAAATGGATTGTAAATGATACATAAAGCTTAAATTAAGGGAGGCAAATTAGATTTTCTTAAATTTGAGAGTACCAAGTGAAACTGTCAAAAACCTAAGGTGGGGTTTCTGAAATTATCCTAAAAGTGAATCATCCATTCGTCGGTTCATTTGCCTTCGTCTTCAACTGGAGGATATGTGCGTGACAGAGATGAGTAGTCTTGCAATGGCTTCCTCACTGGGCCATCCATTTGCTCTGCCTTCCAGCTCCAGGCCCTATGTGCGGAGGAGAAGAAAATTCAGAACAAAACCCCTAAGAGTGGCACTGGTGGAGGCAAGGCCTCGACCAACGGTTCCTGTAATCGATAGAGATGCGACCACCAATAGAAACAGTGAGCTGCAAATTAATGGTTCGGTAACAGCAGGGGAGATCTCCGTTCTGTCCTGCAGGGATCGAACGGATGATATGCAAGCCGAAGCCAGGGCCATGGCCCGGGCCGCCAATGCTTCCGTCTATAGCCCCGCTCTTCTCGCAACGAAATATGGCTCTCGCCCCATCAAGGTAAAATAGGTTTCATGCGGAAAATGGTAGGATATATCCCAGTTTGGCCTCTTGTTTTTTCCTTTTTGGTTGATTGGTAAGCATAAAGACGGAAAAGAAGTAAGTGAAAAACTCAGAAAGCCGTCTTTTCCCCGTTATCTTTATTTAGGTATTACGGAGGGCGCTTGAAATATTTACGGGTTTAGGTTCATTTGCCATAAACCTGTGGCTCGATCAGTTGAACGGCCTGGCTAACCGGAATAGAAGATTGCGGGCCGTTGAGCTCAGACAAACATTCACGAGATTGGGACCTACTTTTGTTAAAATTGGCCAGGGCTTGTCCACTAGACCTGATCTTTGTCCACCGGAGTATCTTGAAGAGCTCTCTGAGTTGCAGGTATTTCTGCTGGGGAGGGGGACGGGGTTTTCTTCCACGTAATTGATATTTCCTTTGTTCGTGTTTGCTTCAGCTTTTCAAAAAAAGTTTTTCTTGAAAATGCTATTTGAAAAGCTTACTTTGGCTTAGTATAATTTAAAAGAAAATGTCAAAAGCAAATGATAACACATCAGGCAAGCTTTTAGCTCTCGAAAACAGCTACATGAGCTGATTCAGTTTGTAGCAAGAACTTCTTTATAAATAGGATGTCATTGGAACATTTTGTGATTTGTGTGAAGGTATAGTTACTGAAATATGCTCATTGTGCTTTCCTGATTATGTAGGATGCTTTGCCCACATTTCCAGATATAGAAGCATTTTCTTGTATTGAGAGAGAGTTGGGGCGTCCACTAGATTCAATCTTCTCAGCAATATCCGCATCTCCTATTGCTGCAGCCAGTCTCGGTCAAGTTTACAAAGCTCAGTTGAAGTACTCAGGTCAGCTTGTTGCTGTGAAGGTTCAACGGCCTGCAATTGAAGAGGCAATAGGATTGGATTTTTACCTGATAAGGGGATTAGGTTTCCTCATAAATAAATATGTTGACATCATTACTAGTGATGCCATTGCTCTTATTGATGAATTTGCACGTAGAGTTTATCAAGAGCTCAACTATGTCCAGGTTTGATGATTTGTTTTGTGCAATTTCCAATGAAGCATATCTCTTGGCTCTTTTTTTCGTAGATTAGATGCTTATGACGTCCTTGCTTGTATTGTAACTTGTACTATGTTCTGCTGGATTTGCTGTTATTTGCAGTAACTATTACGACATACTACTGGGTTTGATGTTAATTTTGACAGGTATATGCAGGAAGGGCAGAATGCAAGGAGGTTTAGGAAGTTGTATGCTAACAAAGAAGATGTCCTTGTGCCAGATATCTTCTGGGATTACACAAGTGGCAAAGTTTTAACAATGGAGTGGATTGAAGGTGTTAAATTGAACGAGCAAGATACTATTGAGAGACAAGGGCTAAAAGTCTTGGATCTGGTTAACACAGGCATCCAATGCAGTCTTCGACAGTTACTTGAGTACGGATATTTCCATGCAGATCCTCATCCTGGAAATCTCTTGGCCACACCTGAGGGAAAGCTTGCTTTTCTTGATTTTGGAATGATGAGTGAAACTCCTGAGGAAGCCAGACTTGCTATAATTGGTCATGTTGTTCACCTAGTTAATCGAGACTATGAAGCTATGGCCCGTGATTACTATGCTTTAGATTTTTTGGCACCTGATGTGGATGTTTCTCCAATTGTACCAGCACTGAGGAACTTCTTTGATGATGCCCTCACTTTGACTGTGAGTGAACTGAACTTCAAAACTATTGTGGATGGTCTGGGTGCTGTTTTGTATCAGTTTCCATTTAATGGTGAGATACTATTTTGGTTCTGTTCCAAGACATTATCTGTTTTGCTTTTGGAATTTTCATTCTCCTTTTGTGCAAGCATTCTCTTCACCATATGCAATTGATCTCCTCCTCCTCCTCCTTTTTTTTTTAAGATCAGAAAATCAATGCTGACTGTTGGACTTTCTGTAACTAACTTGTATTATTCATTGTCATCTGAATTGTTGCTATGACTGGTTAATATGCTTGCAGTTCCAGCTTATTACGCATTGATTTTGAGGTCTCTTACGGTGTTAGAAGGTTTAGCCCTGTATGCTGATCCTAATTTTAAAGTGCTGGCTGCTTCGTATCCATATTTTGCTAAAAGGCTTCTTACAGATCCTAACCCATATCTGAGAGATGCTCTTATAGAGCTGCTTTTCAAGGATGGGAGGTTCAGGTATTTTTTTTTGAACTAGGTTTTGGTTGATAAACTATTGCTTGCTTCTGCTGGCACGGTTACAGGATGTTGTGTGTGAATTACTTCAGGTGGAATAGACTTGAAAACCTGCTTGTCCAGGGGAAGAAAGATAGGGATTTTTCCGCAAAGGATGCATTACAGCCTGTCCTTAAACTTTTGCTTGGTCAAGATGGTGAACCACTAAGGGTCTTAGTGGTCAAAGAGGCCGTCCGTGTTACTGAAGCAATTTTTTTTGGCACCTTGCTTGAGTCTTACAACTCTATGCCTGCGTTTATGAGGACTGTTATTGCAAATGGTAATATGACTGGTCCTTTCATTACAAGCATTGCGGAACAGGAAAGCATGATGGAGCTTAGGGCACAAGTATTTCGGATATGGGAGCTTCTGCGATCCTCAGAGAATTTTGACCCTGCTTTATTGCAACCCATATTGCAGGTACAAACCATATACTTTGTATTTGGTGGTTTTCCATATTGAACTTTATTCGCACATGGTTTGTGATGATTGGCATGTGCGCTGAACTAGTGAATTGCATACTTTAGTCCCAGGAATTTGAGGATAAGAAAAATTATGCGATCAAAATTATTGATGTGAGTTTCATAAGAATATTTTGAATGTTTCTGTTCATCTTAATTAATTTGGGATCTTGCCAAGAAGAATGTGTGCGCGCGTCTGTGTTTGTTTTTTGTAAAATAATTCTAATAAAAAGTGCTGATGAATTGCTTCTTCAGGTATGTGTCGTTTAATAATCTTAATTAGATGCTGTAAATTCATAGTTTCAACCTGTACAATCAAATGCTAATGCAACCTGTGCAATTAAACCAACCAGACACATTATTCTGTTGTACATTTCATCTCATTTGATCTGACAATACAAAGATTGAAGATTTAGAAGTATATTATTTTTTATTCCTACTGTGTGATTTGATGCCTTATTGGCATCTCTCTCAACCTGTTTCTGCCAAAAGTTTGATTTTCTATGTGTTCGCGGGCGTGTCCGCATGTAATATGTATTGCTAGAATAGCAGCAGAAAGGCCAATACAACAATGGAGACTTCATAGATGACATGGTTATGAAAATTTAACTTCTGATATTCTTTGCTGTGTATAGATTGAAAATGCTGGATGTTAGTTAAGCTAAATCTACCATCATACGTGACCAGGTGCTTCAACAGCCTGAGGCTCGCAGCCTAGGGGGTCGCGTATTTGGTGGAATCACTCAGCGCCTTGCAGCACGCTTGCTGCAACAAGTTCTTAGATCTCCCACTCCCTCGACACTCTCTACGTCAATTTCATAAGCATTGTCTTGAAGCGAAATCTTCAAGCTTTCTTTTTTAACAAGTAAGTGTGAACAAATGTTTGAAGTCAATTACATTATAGACATTACGACAATTTCCAAAAATGATTTAGAGTAGGTTTGTCGTGGTAATGGGTGTTGAGCTCTGAATACTGAACTTTGTAGGTTCTTGGGAATGTATAAAAGGTAGTTCAGAAGTGAATTCATTTTTTTTCTTCTTTTAGGTTTTTTGCAAGTAAATTTGTTGACAATTTTGAACAGTTATATTTGAGAGTTTCTCTTCCCAGCTTCCATGATTGCAAAGGCCCAATTTCGTGCCAGAAAATCTGGCAACAGAAATTAATAAAACTCCTTCAAAGTTTTTGACATATTAGTGATCAGCAACTCCACTATGTTGCAACAAGCCACTTGCAGTTAATTTAGAGGGATGCCAGTGCCTACCATGCAGCTACTTTCTAGATCTATTAATCTTGTCTTTCCAACATACACGCAATGTATAGTTGGTGGTTTTTTGAGGTTGGCCATTCTGATCAGTAGGGCTTGCATTGAGGTTGTTTCTGGGTTGGAAAGGGGAATGGTATTATCCAGGAATGATTATTCGGATCTCAGATGCTCGGATGGGGTGGGTCTTTTAGGCCTCTGATATTGGTGGTGTTGCTTTGAATCACAAGTTAATCTTAATTACATAGCAAAGGCTTGAAATCCTCTATAAAAACTTACTCAAGTCTTTGTGAGCACCTCTAGTTTAAGGTGGCCAGGCTCTTTCTTCTACATATTGAGTGTGGTTTTGTTTTTATTCCTTTCTATTTATAATCATTCAAAAGCTTTTTGTGGGTGCAGATCAAGGATGTCAGCTAGGTATTGGATCATAAGATGACTTCAAATTGTTGCTTAAGGTGGCCAATGCGCAAGAGCCCTTGGAAAAATTACCTTAACATCATTTACTTGTAAAATGATGTAAAATGTGAGTGTATCGAGGTGCAAAAACATACAGCTGTTTGTGTGGATGCCGAGAGTAAATGAATGAAGTTGAAGACTTCTATTTAGTAGTTTTAGATCATGTATTTAGTTCTCCTACGAAGTATTCAATGCAAAAAATGAATCTTGAGGAGAATTCATGTACTAATCTTGTAGACAAACACAATGGACATCCACATCCTTTTGTCATTATTCCATAACAGCTTTCCTTTTTTTTTT